CTTTCATATAAGTTCTATTGGTCTAAGCATGAATGCAGGGTATACACGATTCGTAACACCAAACGACTCAAAGGGGGGTTTATTAAAATTCTTCTTTCGACAAAGATGAGAATAATACTGAAAATAAAAACAGGACACGCGCTGAGAGAACGAAAGGGGTGGACAAATATTAGAAGACAGTATAGTATATATGTACGAGTGCATACTAAACAGAAAGAAAGACAGGAATAATCAAATAAGTCGAAGGAAAGAGACCAGAGTGATAAAAATAGCAGGAAGGCAGTCACCAAATGGTAGAAGGGGTATCACCCATCCACAGAAGCTTTTATATAGGTAATAACCCACCAATGAACAGAACAATTAAGCAGAATTACTTATAGCGAGGAAAAAGAAGACTAGAGAACATTCGTGGTACGGAGTCGTGAAGGCTGATAGGCTTCTGGGGGGAAGAAATTACCCGAATGAGCTGGAGGACGTAGGAGCCAAATACAATCGTCTTTTGGTCAGGGTGGATCACTTCCTCCAATTTTTAATTCATTCATTTATTAATTACAAGCTAGAAGAGTTGTAGAAAGTTGTATCCTCTGTTCATGCAGATCTAATACTTACACACTCCCAAATTTTAAAATTATGTGTTTGAAATAAAGAAGTAATGAAAAGGTTATATATGTAACGCTTGAGTATTGCTTACGCACTAGGCATTCAGCTTATTTGTGCTCTGTCATCACCAATAGTGGAGGTTTCAAACACAAAAAACCGTCTACACCTCATACTGACCAGATTAACTATATCAAAACTTACCAAAGTATGCAGTAAATTCGTTGCAACTAGTAATAAATCAGCCTAATCTAGCGATTAATTAGCCTAACGAGCCACACTCTTAAAATGTTCCTAAGAATACTTCACAACAGAATTAAACACAAATGCGAAGAAGATCTTGAAGATACCCAATTTGGTTTTAGAAATGCTATGGGAACCAGGGAGGCACTGTTTGCGCTTAACATCCTATTACAAAAATGCCGTGGCCAAAGAAATGATGTATTTGCATGTTTGGTGGACTTCGAAAAAGCATTCGATAAAGTACAGTATGTAAAATTAATTCAAATACTGAAAAATATCGGAATAGATGACAAGGATATTCGCGTCATTAAAAATTTGTACTGAAATCAAACTGCTATCGTAAAAATTGAAGATAACTACACCGATGAAATTTCTAATACAACGAGGAGTTCGACAAGGTTGCATTTTGTCGCCACATTGTTCAATGTTTTACTTGGACCAGTTATTTAAAAAGGCACTTGAGAGACAACCATATAAAATAAAAATTAACGGGAACTACTTAATGTGATTAGATATGCAGACGATACAGTAATTATATCAGATAATATTAAAGGTCTTCAAATTCTGCTTGATGGTATCACAAGGTAGGAGAGGAAATGGACATTATACACTCAAACAAAACCGAATTTTTAGTTTTAGTCGTGATCCGATCCCGATGCAAAGCTTCAATTAAACGGGGTCCAAGTTGAGAAAGTTCTCAAAATGACATATTTGGGAACTGTCATAACGGACCAACTAGATCCAAACAGAAATAAAACGTAGAATAGCAATGACTAAAACTACTTTTATAAAAAATAAAGTTATTTCTTTCAATATCCATCTCAGTTTAGAACTAACGCAAAGAATGGTTAAGTGCTATGTTTGGTCCGTACTTTTGTATAGTACAGAAGTGTGGACGCTAAAAGTATCGATCATGAACAAAATTGAAGCATTGGAAACGTGAGTTCATAGACGAATGCTACAAGGAGCGTCAACAAAGATAAAGAACTGCTAAAGACTGTTAAATATCGAAAAATGTCTTATCTGAGATATATAGTAAGGGAAGTCGATATAAAATGTTACAACTGATCCTTAAAGGCAAAATAGAGGGCCGTAGAGGTATAGGAAGAAAACAAGTTTCTTGGTTAAAAAACATTCCTGAATGGACTCAAATATCAAATGCAGGACAATTATTCCATATTGCAGAAGGTCGAGAAGCCTTCGCAATGGTGATCCCCAACGTTGGATAAATCTGATATGGCACGTGAAGAAGAAGAAGAAGCAATCAAGTATACTAAACAAAATTGGACACAGAAGTAAAAAGACAGAAGGTATCAAAAAAATGATAGTAAACGACATTGTAGTGGCCAAAGATCTAGAAAAGAGTTCAATTAAAATCGCCACAGACCAAATAAAAAACGGACAACAACAACAATTACTATCCTGAATGGATAGTAATAGTCAACCGAATGGCATAGCGACATTGCATACTCATAAAGGATAAAGGACAGAGAAGTTGGTGATTATCTATTTCTTAGGATTTGAGTCCTTGTCTTGTAGAATCAACCGTAGAAGTTGATATTTATTAGTACGCATAATATGGTCGAAGTTAGCCAATTTTCTGTTTTTCTGGCCATCATCATCATCTTTGGCTCGACAATCCTCTGTGGATCTTGGCCTGCTCTAAGATTCCTCGCCATTCTGTTCGGTTTTCCGCCATTCATCTAACCACCTAATTCGCGGTCGGCCTTTGCTTCTTTTTCCTACAGGTGTTCCTGTGGTTAGCTTTTTAGCAATGGTATTTTCTGGCATTCGTATTATGTGTCCAGCCCATCTAAGTCGCTGTGTTTTAATGAACGTTATGACATCTGGCTCATCAAAGAGCTGATACAATTCAAAATTATGTCTTCTGCGCCACTGTCCCAAAAGTCTTTCATCTTTCTGCGTTAGAGTCCATGTTTCTGCTCCATATGTGAGGACCGGCCTCAGCAATGTTTTGTATATAATAATTTTAGTTTTTCTTTGAATGTTTCTTGAGTGGAAATGCTTTTGAAATCCATAGTATGCCCTATTTGTAAGATTTATTCGTCTTTTGATTTCTTCGCTTGTTTTATTGGTAGCAGTCAATAGCGACCCAAGGTATGTGAAGTTGTCAACACGTCCAAAGGTATGACTTCCAAAGACTGTTTCTCGTTCCTCATTTGCTATCGGATCCTTTGTAACCAACATGTACTTGGTTTTATCTTCGTTAATGACTAGACCGACCTGTTTCGCCGTTGTTTCCAATTCCAGGAGATATTGCTCAACATCTCGCTTGCTACGCCCTACTATGTCAATGTCATCAGCATATGCTAAGACTTGTATCGATCTATTGTAAATAGTGCCGCCATCCCTAATTCGTGTATCTCGGACTGCCTTTTCTAAGGCAATATTAAATAGTAGGCAAGCCAGAGCATCTCATTGTCTGAGTCCATCCTTTATCTCAAAGGATCTAGAACTCTCTCCCTGTATCCTAACAGTGGCTTCTAAGTTAGACATTGTCATTCTCGTTAGTCGGATAAGTTTCTCTGGTATACCAAACTCATGCATTGATTGGAATAGCACTGTTCTCTTGACACTGTCGTATGCGGCCTTGAAGTCGACGAATAGGTGATGGTTTCAATATTGAATTCTAATGTTTTTCTCGAGAATCTGTCTTATTGAATGAATCTGGTCAATTGTTGATTTTTCTGGAGTGAATCCAACTTGATATTTACCAATTATGCCCACTGTGTAAACTTGCAACCTTTCGTAGAGAATATTTTGCTATATTTTGTAAGCAGTTGTTAACAGGATTATACCTCTATAGTTGTCACACTGGAGCTGGTCACCTTTTTTATGTAACGGGCATATCACGCCTTGAGACCATTCACAAGGCATGGTCTCATTATGCCAAACAAAAAGTAAAAGCTTATGCAGTGTCTGTAGTAGGCATCGCCACCATTCTTGTAGAGCTCACTGCAAATTTTGATTTTTTTTAATGGCTTGGGCAACGTTTTTTGATGGTAGGTGGTCTTTCGTTTGGGTTGAAAGGATTCCAATCATTTCGATTTGCTAGGGTGTTTATCTGCTTCTTCGATATGATGGCCATTAAATTTTGCATCGAAAAATTCAACCCATCTGTTTAGGATTGAGGCTGTTTCCTTCTACATCCTTACAGCTCCTTATTCTTGGCTTAAACTCTTTGCGTATTTTGTTTAGATTTCTGTAGAACTTTCAAGTTTCATTTTGATTTCTTAGCCATTCTGTGCTTTCCAACTGCTTTTGCTTAAATTGTCCTTTTTTTTTCTTCTATGTAATCGTGTTTCTTCTCTTCTTAGTGTCCGGTATTCTTCCTTTGCTCTTCTTGTGCATCCAGCTTGATTTGTCTTTAGGTATGCCCTGTTTTTGTTATCTGTAGCTTCTTGGCACTCCTTGTCAAACCTTTCGTTTTCTTTAACGGGTTTGGTTTTTTTGGTTTTCCCCAATATTTTGGTTTTTCTGGCCGCTTCCTCTAATTTTAGAATTTTTTTTTTAACTAATTTTGTGGTTTTGTTACTATATCATTATCATCTGTGAAGGTTATCAATAATTTAGGGCCGTTGGTCGAGAACGTTTAGATACAGATCTTGGTTAATGTAATTAATTTTTGGTGAAAGAGATATTTCGGCCATTGCGCTATAGATTTCGACGCGGATAATGACTAGTAATAAAAATATTAAATACTCCATTATTTTATTGTAATGTAACTTTAATTATTAAGTTAAATTTATTAGATTTATCATCATCATCAGCCGTTTTGTGTTTACTGCTGGACATAGGCCTCCCGTAAATAATTCCAATGCATTCTATCTTGAGAACCCTTGAGAGCATCGTGTTTAGGTCTCCATTCCAGAATTTTCTTCGTCCACCTTCCATCTTTTAATCTGGTAACGTGCCCCGCCCAGTTCCATTTCAATGTTGTAATCCTTTGAACTGCGTCAGTAACACCAGTTTTTCTCCTAACTATTGCATATGATACTCTGTCTCTGAGGGATATATTCAGTATTGACCTCTCCATCGCTCTCTGTGCGATAATATTAGATTTATAGTTCTGATTAATACTTAAATTATTTCGCGTCAATAATAAAACTAATATAATGAGTATTTATTTTTTGTTACAGATGACGATACCCAGGACCAAATTCTGCATCCGACGGAAAACACTCGACAAACCCACCCTTCAATGATCTTCCAAAATAGGTATCAAAATACCACCCAGTCTACAGCTCCTCCACTTCTACAATCGAACATCCTTTCGGCAGGACTCAGCGCAATAGGACAACCATATTCTACAGATATTTGTAACTACGGACCAATGTACCACTCCCATAACCTTCTTCACAATTATAACCCTGTGTACAGTAACGAAAAGGCGATGAGAGCGCCAAATTTTGGCAGAACGGTCTATGGAAACTATTCCGGGTTTTATGGTAACAATGGTAATTTTAGAAGTGCTGGCCTACATCAAAATGGGTACGATTTTTCGCCGAGATGAATTGTATTGTAAATAAAATCAGTATTTTTGATGAAAAGAAACATGACAAAATTGTGATTGCTACGTTGCAGATCTAAATACAAATTAAATATGAAAATGGTTTTTCAAAAACTACTTATCTATGAATAATTTATTAGACAATAAATTAAATAATAGTCCAGTCTTTTGCAGTTTTCTCACAATTCTAAAGCAGATATCCGAAAAAGAAAAGTTATATTGATGATTGGTTGTTTTAGATGGAGAAATTTATTTTATACAAAAAATATTTCAGAATATTTTTTTTTTTCGAAAACACAATACTTTTCCATTTCTTTCGATTTATTATCTACACACATTTTGATTTTTTTTTTATCTAAAAATCCATTTTTTCAGACTGTTCGTTAGCTATTTTTGTTTTATTTTTGACCATACAATACAAATCAAGTTATATTTTGACGAAGATTTTACCTAAATCTAGAGTCGAATCATTGAATGTTAAATAATAATAGAAGGGTAGGTTTCTTAGTAGGAAACTAATTTTTTGAAACTATTTGAAAAAATATTTAAATGATCTTTGGTATGGTATAAAAAGAAAATATTCATTTCGCTATCTCATAAAACTGGATATTCCAATATAAAAAAAAAATAAAAAATGGAAATTAAATTTTTAATCAAAAATAAAAATTAAACACAATCCATGTATTGTGTAAGTTTTTTTAAATGCTTAGATTTGGAAAAAAGTCGGATTTAATTTGAAATTAATTTTTAAAATTTTCAAAAAACTGTTAAATTTTTAATAAAGCTAAAATAAAAAAAAAATTGGGAACGTAAAAAGAATATGATTTTTTTGCTAAAAATTTCGTTATTTGATAAAAACTAACTGACTATTATCGTTAAATTTTTAAGCTAACATTAAATCTTAATCCATTTAAATTTTACCAGAAGAAGAAATTTAGAAGGATTGTCTAAACCAGAATTATTATGGTTATGGTAAATAGGGGCAGGATCCATTTGTGAGCCTTTCAGACACTAGACTTTCTATGATGGGTCCATTGCATCCCCTTATCATATGGACTAGGTCCATAAGAGCCCATTCATTCCCTTCCATGCCTCTGTGTGTTAGTCACAAGCCAAGTTAACCCTATTTCTAAGCGCAAAAACTGCTCTCTTATACTAAAGAACCAGTTTAGAGCCAATTTTTGGCGCTTCGAAAACCCTTAGCGCTATCAGAGTATACAAAGATGGTCCTGACTGAGCAAACCCTTTTTATTATCTCCTGAGAACATACCAGTACACAAAAGATATCGGTCTGAAAGACTGATTCGTGGCGCCTAGAGCCTGGCCAGACTCAAAACCGATTCCGTTACCATATACCCTGCACCTGCACCCTTGTCCATTCTGGAACCGTCCGTGAACCAGGTGAGCCCGCTTCGACGGATTAGTGCAGGCTCTCATTTAATCCAATCATCTTGGTCAGGAAATTGTCCTGATCAAGATATGGTCGAAAACAGGACCATACTGTCCTGTACCATAGAGAGCACAGGACAGCAATCGAGGGCCTGTCTCCAATGTCACAATGGCACATCCGTCCATTCATTTAATAGGCTGCTATTATGGTTTTATCCTCTACAATAAAATGTAGGAGAGGTAAATCCAGCAGAACCTCAAGAGCCGCTGTCGAAGTGGTGCGCATGGCTCTTGACATGCCAACGAATGCCACCTGCTGGAAGTGAGTCAACTGCGTCTCAGGTGAAGCCACTCTAGCCCGAAGTCACCACGCAATGGTCACATAAATCAGTATAGGCTTTATTATGGATTCATCATCATCAGGTAGCGCTACAACCCTGGGTGGGTCTTTGCTGACTGTACAACTTTTTTCCAATTTGTTCGGTCTTCCATCAACCTAGGGTCAAATGCAATGTTCATTTTCCGGAGATCTGCTTGGATGTTATCTCTCCATCGCATTCTGGGATGTCCGAGTGGTCTTTTGTCTATGGGAATCTCCTCCCATACCAGTTTTATAAGTCTTTTACTAATCGTGGATTAGTACATCCAATATAAAATTTTCGGCTGCAGATTTCCATGACACTGTAGAATTCAGAATCACGTCTAGGTTCAAGATAATCAAGCTCTCTGGAGGTTTGATGGCCCTTTTCTGAGTGCATGGAACCACAGCAGTCTTCTCAGGTTAACTGCGAGTAACTGCTCATGGAACCATTCCTCAACAAGCCTTAGGCTCACTTGAGCGACAGATTAAACGAATGTCCAATAGGGCGGTTCCTAACATAATGAAAAAATGTGTGGTTTAAGATCAGACATGTTATATTATTAGATGTATAACATGGCCTCAGTAACCAATAATAACAAATGCATTAGTAGAATGGTGGTCAAAGGTGCAGCATAAAAAGGCCATACTGATATTACGTTATTAGCATTAAGGTATGTGAACATTCGAGAATCAGCTAGAAAAAACGGCTTAATCCAAACACAACCATGTTACACTTAAAATTTCCGCAAAAGCTGTATGTGCTTTCTGTAGTTTTCCGGGTTTGACTCCGTTTGAATAATTATGGTTTTAAGGAAAACCATTGTTTTGACGACGTTTCGGCAAAGTCGCACTTGCCATACTCAAGTAAGGTAGTTACACTTCGTGCTAGTGTTAGAAGTAAACTGACTCCCTGTCAAAGCGGTCCTTTATATAGTCAATTATGGTGCGCTTCTCTCGAACGGTTCTTGGCAAAACTTCTTGAGATTGGCCCTGTTTGAGTATAGGTAGGAGGGATCATACTAGTCGATATTGTTACCTGATTTATTTTTTTATTTATTTTTTTTTCTTCAATACTGTCTTTCATGTTGTTGGAAGCTTTTAAGTATCACCTATTTGTTTTTCGACTTTTAGAATTTTTTGTAATTTCTATTGATTCTCTGATCTCACGTTTTCTTTTAATCTCCATGTTAGCTAGCGTCGTCGCTTGATTTAGGTTTATTGTATGTCTGCATTTAATGCGGCATGTTATCCGAGGGACACGTTTTTCTTACCTTTTGATGGCATTTCGATGTTCTTCTGGTATAATAAGAATTATTCGATTATCTGTCCGATGTACGATTTGTCACAGTTCCCACATGGAATCTCGTAGACTCCTAGGTTTTCTAACGATATTTTTGTTTTTGAGGATGGTAAACTAGTTAAGTTCGTTATCCTACGTAATTATGTCTGGTATTAATATTTAGTTCTTAAAGCACAGACTCATTTGTACGATATGTTGTCCATGGAATTCGTAACATCCTCCTGTATATATACATCTCAAAGGCGTTGATTCTGTTTGCGTCAGGTTTCTTGACAATCCCGTTTCAGAGGCATATGTTGCAATAAGGAATATCAGTGCACATGTAAGGCGAAGTTTCGTAACTTTAGATATGTTGGCGTCTTTCGATATATTTGCCAATTTTCTGTTGCTGACCTTAGCATTGTTAGTCGTCGTCTTATTTCTTTTTCGAACCCACCATTATTTATTATTATCTATCATAGGTAGTTGAACTTTCCCACTACTTCGTGTCCCGCTGTGCTTGATCACATAGGTCATGTTTGACTTATCATCATTATTAGTGGCATTACAACTTGTCATGAGTCAAAGCCTTCTTCAGAACAATCTTCCATTTGCCCCTGTCTCTGGCAACTCTTCTCCATGCTCAATGCTTCTCTTCATGTTTGCCTTATAATGAATCAAAATCTTAAATTCACGAAAAATTCTTAATAAAATTTGATTATTTTGACATAGTTATTTAATTCGTTTAGCGAAAATGAACACCTAACTGCAAATATTCATACCAGAGATACCCGATCAGATATTTTAAAAAATAGAGACAAAAATAATATTTTCAAGATCCGAATTTAGAAATTGCACTGACTGGACCAATTATAACCTGTTGTGTTGTAAAAAATTATTAAGAAAATACTGAAACCAAAGAATATAGACGCTTATAGCGTCTATATTCTTTGCTGAAACTGTACTGGAATTCTGTGTTACATTATAAATATTAGGTATTATTAGAAGTATATTTTACTAAAAATGTTGTATATTATACCAAAAATATTGCCAAATTTATGTTTAGTTTTAGTTAATATATATTTATTTACACCTGAAGTAATTAATAAAGTTGAATATTTTCGATATTTCGTTTTATTTGTGCCTTCCTAGAACTAGTAAAACTTCCTATCTTTAACAGGTTGACTGCCACAAAAAATGTTTAAAAAAGTCCATGGTGCTAAGTTAAACGTAATGCATCTAGCAACGAGCTGAAATACTTCCATTACTAATGTTTCACCAATTTTATTTATTAGTGCCAATTTTTGAAAAAAATTGTTACCGCTTGAATAAGACCGCCGGGACGTAGGCCACATACTTATTCTCGTGGTGCCAAGCGGTCGTTCAGCCGGTCGTTCTGTTCATGATGAGTAGATTTATGCTAATATGCAAAATGCATAATATTGCATATTTTATGCAAATATTTGGGGATTTTGCATATTAATACAAAAAATATGCATAAAATGCATAAAATGCATAAACGTTGTAACATTTTTTTTATTATTAATATATTAAATATTTCTAATTCCTTTTACCCCCGTGCGATACGCCTATGATCGTGTATCGATAGCAAAATATTGTAGATACCAGGTAAAATGGAATTCCCTAATTAGGAATGGTTTTTTAATCCTTCCGTCATAATATTCATTATGAAAAGAGTATAATGCGTTTTGGTATGCAGTTTCCTTTTCATAAATTGGTAATTTTCGTCGAAAGCACGTTTCTTTTGACAATAACTTAATCCCAAGTATTGTCTGTTTCTTATGTTCAATTGTTAATAATGATTATTTTACCTCAAAGTTTCCAATAGTCGTTAAGGCCTTACCTTCTGAGAAACACATACAACTGTCCTATCATTCTTGAGTGGGGGAATATTTTCTTCTTCCTTTTTCAGGGACAGTTGGTGAAATTTTGAGTGGAACCAAGTTATTTGTT